CCACAATGACCCTGCGGAGATGGGATCGGGGGGCTGATTTCCTGAATATCTTGAATCAACAAAGATCTGACCATGAGTTTAAAGATTGGTCTGTAGACTTCAGTTTGAAGTTAAAAAGCTCCTTGGAGAAAAAACCAACTGTCTTTGGGAAAGCAAAGACTTGCTCTCACCTCGTCTCAGAACCACCTGAATTAATACAGAATTTCCATTGGATCATTACAAAAAAACTCAAAAGTGCTGCAGAATGCTAAGTTCGACCAGTTCAAACCGACTTGTCTTGTCTTACTTTACTCTCACTATTTGTTATATCCAATAAAAAAGATCCGTCTTTTAGATTTGATTTTATTATCATTTGTCCAGAGGATACCACATTTCCTAAACGTTGATGGAGACTGCCCAGCTCTTGAGTAAACACTTGTGAGTTTATGTTTCACCCTCCCACTGTCCTAACGGGTGACCTGGGTACATGTGACGGGGTGAGGAGTGAGCACCACCTCACCCCTACCATGTGGACCTCAAGGGATAAAACATCAATCCTGCTGAATGGTCAACTTTCCTCGCGGGGTCACCCATAAAGACAGTGGGAGGGCTAAGTGTGTGTTTGTGTGTGAGCGTGCATACATGCGTGTGTGTGTGTGTGTGTGTGTGTGTGTGTGTGTGTGTGCGTGTGTGTGCTTGTTTTTATACTTTTAACTGGACAAATTTTGACTAACCTGTAGTGTGAGAACATTTCCACATTGTGGGGACATTTTCCTGGTCTACACAAGGCTGAGCACCCTACAACTTGTTAACTTTTAGTTTAGATTAGTTTAGGTTTGGGTTAGGAGTAGAACCCACTGGTAATGGTTATGGTTGGGCTATGGGTTGGGCATAGTGCAGTCACTAAAATGAATGGGTCAGTGGTGGTCCTCACAAACATATAAATACAAGTATGTGTGTGTGCGTGTATGTGTGTACTTCTTCAGTTTGGTATCAGAGACACATCAGTCTGATATGAGAGAAGTAATAGAAGTGCAGATGAGTAACACATCACAGAGTCCGAGTTCATTTGTAGATTTGTTTGCCTTCGTTTTCCAGATCCTTTCAGTTATGTATACAAAATATTGTCTGGTTGACAGAAATCCTCTCATCATCAGTAACTGTAAATAAAACAAACTATGATGTCCTTAAAAAGTCTTCAAACTTCAGCAAATAAAAAAGTTTGCCACTAAAGTTTGCTTTGTGCTCCAAACGTTTCCACCTCTTTCATGGAAGCCATCTGCTCAGCTCCTGACTCTGACTGAAGCCCGTTAACGGCGCAGACACACGGTGCTGAGAACAGAAGGTTCTTTTTAACACATGAGGAAGTTCAGTGTACCTTAGATAAAGTTCTACCTCCCCTAGCACCCATGCCACAAACACATGCACACCCTCAGCAGCCATCTGCACACACTCACATGCATGCTCATCGCCCCCCCCCCCCCCCCGCCATCGGTGCCTGTTTCCTCTGTGGGCTTTGTATCTGAGAGCTTCTGTCTGCCCTAACAGCCAATCTCGCCCCATCACCCCCTCTCCTGTCATGTCAGGGTGCACTCAGGGGTATGTTGTTTCAGCTTGAGCAATAATGAAAACTGGTGGTGACCCATAAATATTACCCATATGCTGCCTTCCATTTTCACCCAAACAGTCGCCTCAACTGCTAAATCTGCACAAATAAAGTTGTTGAGTGACTTTCCTGGTTTATTTCTCTCTTCATCTATGTTTGAGACGGATTACAGCTGAAGAAAGAGAGAGCTACACGATGCCAGGAAGCGTTGCCTGATGACGGACACAGTTTTGCGACAAAGCTACCATTCAACTGAAAGTCATGGGAGCACAGTGGGTATGGGAACGTGTTTTGGTGTACATCAAGGCAGTCATTATTTTTACACGAGGACTCGATGCTATCTCCTTTAC